GATGGTTCCTGACTTCGCAGTCAGCCGATTATCATGGCCAAGTTTAGACTTCTTCTTCCATCCTTCGTTGTTCCACCTTTTCTCAATTACATCATTCCAGTGCTCTACACTTAACCACGGTGGTCCATATCCCTTCCAATCAATTACATTTCGGGACCTACTATTTTCCTGAGCCTTCTTTCGAGCCAAACAAAATATATCTCTTAGTCGATCAGTTGAGGCAATATTCCATGCCTTTTTCACCTCATTATCTTTATTTTTTGGCCACGAGTATTGTTGCTAATGTAGGTACCAACCATTAGTGTGGAAATAAAGGTGAAAACTTATAAGGACAATAAGTAGATTTACAAGAAAATTGTATTACCTGGAATCTTTCCCACAAGAACTTTTTTGTGTCAACCGGCACCAAACTAAATGTAGGATACGGTCCTCCCAAGTAAGCTTTCAAATTGGCACTTACAGAACGTGATGCCGAGATAGTAATGAATCTACAAGCATACAACATCAGAATGACCATGACTTAAAATAAAAAAGTGTATTAAATTATGTATCAGCATTCGTTATCCATTTTGTGTATACCACTGACAAGTTCAATATATATCAACGATAAAATGGATAGAACCAGGTTAACAGAGAAGAAATAGAGAGAACGAAAGAGAACTATGGAAGGGAGTAATTGAACTGTTCATTTCCTGCTTTTTAATTGAACAAAACACCGACTATACATAGTAGTCTTACAATGCTAGAAAGAATAACAAATAATACAAATGTTCAGGAAACAGCACTATCCTATTGGACCTAAAGATTAGCACTGCATAGCTTATTAAATGCAACAAATAATCAGCAACAAACAAACTGAATAAAAGGGACTAAGTCCACCACACGTGTTCACTTCAGCTGATAACAAAAATGGCTAATCAGTTGCATGGCTGGTGATGCTTGCCTATTCATATTGACCGGATTCATGAGTAGCATATTGCTCTGACCTTTTCATATTATTTTATAGTGAATTGAAATCAAGCATACCAATAACAAAATGTCCAGAAGGGGTTCAGCGAAAAGAACAAAACAAAAAAACAGAAACAGAGAAGCAGTGGTTCTAGCTGCATGGTTCATTCCTATTTCTAGCTACATCTGTAATTTACCTCCACATTGCAATCACCAATTTCACGACACTTTTCATTTCTTGGTAACCATTATTACCTTGAGCACAGACAACTATTTGAATAATTGCCTTGAGCACAGAGAAATTGGAAATTCAACCAAGAATCTGAAAATTTTACAGTCCACACTCATATTTGAGATTAATTGAAGGTCCCAAATACTACCAGATGACCCCTTTTTCTACTCTATATAATTTAAACTCCTTCTCTAACAATCATTGGAGAAATTGAGAATAATCCATGAAATTGTCGGCCATCTAAACCACAACACAAAGGTACTTCAAAATTGCAAATGTAGACTTAAATGCACAAAGAAAACACAGAATTTCTGGAATAAAAAAAGAACAATAAAAAGTCTAGCCAAAATATACCATGTTCTATTAACTAGAACATGGACATGAGAAGCCAAAATATACTACCTAACTCCCACATTAATTCACGCCATATAAAATCAATGATACCACTTTGCATTCAAACTGAAATCCAAAAAACAAAAAATGTTTAGCCACGTACCTATTGTCTCCCACAGTTAAAGAGACAAACGTTGCTACCGTGGTTGGGATCCCTTTTTCCACAATCAAGTTCTTCATTGTCATCTGCAGAATGAGACCCATCTGTATCCTCATATCCGTTCTGAATCCAGTCATTATCTTCCTCATCTTGTAATCTGGAAACCCTAGGCATCAAACTCCACTGTACTCTAGTAGTCATCCTCAGTTGAAGTTAATGTCGGTATGAGTTTTGAGAAAGATCGAATGGTTGAAAAGTGGTGAGGATGCCTTTCACACGGGCAGGAAGAATTGGGAATAGACAGTGGGAAAGGAAAGCGGGAATATGTAGTGGGCAAAAGTGAGGGAAAATTGTGGAAAAATTGGAGGGAAGGGTTGAAATTTTGGGAGGGATAAATTAGATGGAATAATTTTGGAATTGTAGGTGATATTTTGAAAGACAATGTTTTTCTAAAAAATAAAATATGAAGCCTAAAATTGAGGTAGTTCACGAATAAATTATTCATTGCAAAAAATTCATTTTAGGTTAAGGTATGATATTAGTAAAAATGATTTTAGTTTATAATTAGTGTAAATGAAATAATTCTTCCCTTCTACTTCTTTACATGTTTATTAAGGGAGGTGTCAATTGAGATTGTGATGGATTTTAAAAATCCTTCTAAATTTAAGTGTTTTCAATTGAGATTTTTATGGATTTTAATGAAATTTATTAAAATTTAAGTGTCCCCAATTTAAATTTTAATGAAATCCTTCGAAATTTAGATAGCTGGTAGATTTCTAAATTTTTTATTAATGGATGGATTTTAAAAGATCCACCAAAATTTTAGTTGAGGACACCCCCGTAAAGCTTCAACTTAAGGTGCTGTTTGGGAGCTTCATTTTAGTTCTGATGCGGCGGAAGTAGAATTTCCAGATGAACAAGAAGAAAGCGCCGCTGAAATGAATGCATCAAAAATGCAACGCAATTAGTGGGACTGTTTTCACGATTTCTTGGCTCAAACTCAGTGAAGTTAATGTCTGTATAACAACGCCGTTATCCAAAAATAATTGTCCTCATATACAATTGAATTGTAATCGATGGAATAATTCACTTGACAATTAGTGAAGTTAATGTCTGTATAACAATGCCGTTATCCAAAAATAATTGTCCCCATATACAATTGAATTGTAATCGATGGAATAATTCGCTTGGCAATGCGACTTCTTAATATTATTGGGTTATCAAAAACCAATTGAGACTTTACTCATCACTGTATTGCACCGTGTATGACTGCAAATGCGAGGATATTTTCCTGTCCAAGGATAAGGGAAAAGAATAAACAAAACAAAAGTATGTATACCATTTTATACTTACGAAATTTAAAGAAGGACTATTCGTGAAATTAAATAAATATATTTGTCTTCTTCCTTATCCAAAATATCACATGTTTGCATATCACAAGTTACACACCACCCGTTTTCATATCACAAGTCAGACAGCACCCATTTGTAAATCACAGATCGCAGCTTCACGGGTCGCAACACACAAAGTTATGGATTTTTCGAGACAAAGTGGGCACGGGAAAAACCTCAACCGGAGCCTCCTCCGCTTTCTCAAGCGGAGGCAGCCGCCTCCGCAAGTGGAGGCTGCTGGACTCCGAACGCGAAAACTGAGTCCTCCACGTGCGGAACCCAGCAGCCTCCGCTTGCCTTCGCGTGCGAAACCCAGCCGCCTCCGCACACGGAGGATGAAGACTCAGCGTGCGGAGGCTGCTGGGCTCCGCACACGGAGGCAAGCTGCTTGCCTCCGTAGTTGGGCATTTCTTGAAATTATTTTTTTTCCTGTAATTTATTTTGTCTGTAATTTGAATGTAGTTAAATTTATGAAATACAAAAATTTAAATGCAATTTATTATTAATTTGTTCAGATGTCTCTTCAATATATATTTCCACCAAATGCGTGGTTCTCCGCTACCATCACCCAATTTCCGATCCACGAGTATATTAAAGATTTTATAGACTTATCGATGAAGATAAACAAGCTTTACTATTGTCCAGTAATAGCAGCTTCTTTGGATTTATTTATGGAGCTATCTATAGAGCGGAGCAACAACAATTTCGTAGAAGATTGATACACGAATTTATATTGAGAATTGTTGACTCTGGAAAAACAAACGAAATATTGATACGATTAGGTGATCAATTTGCTAGATTTGGTATGCAAGAATTCTGTCTCATCACAGGATTACCCTGTCAT